GTCAGTGTGCCCGTAGTTGCACGTGTTGCGACCCCCTACTGGGTGGCCTGGCCACCTCACAGGTGGCTCGGCTCCATGTCCGAAGCCACCCTGAGGTGGGCGTCCGGGCCACCCCACAGCGGTGGTGGCCTCCCGGCAGCCTGCTCGAGCCCACCCCTCAGGCGTGGCCCGGCTTCGGGCCTGAGCCACCATTCGAGGTGCTCGTTATCGGCCGAGCCCCTCCCGTGCCCCCCTCCCTCTCGGCCAGCTTACCCGCTCTCTTTGCGAACCCCGGACGGCATTCGTTGTTAGTTCCCGTCACTTTTTCCGTTTGATCCAGGCTTCTGCGCTGTCCCGTTGTTGTATCACCTTGATTCAGGTTGTGTTTCTTTGTGTTGGTTGATTGACCTGGAAATGACCCCGTGAACTTTTGACTGATTTCCGCATTCAGCGCCAAGTACAGTCCCCCGGATATCCTGCATTAAGGCAGATAAATCCACTTCTGAATCTGATCGAACTGAATCTTGATCCTGACTGTCGATTCGCTTCGAGTCCGCCTTCCGGTTGGCAATGACTCGTTGACTCTTCGAAGTCCAACACTTTGGCCTTTGATTCCCGCCACCGTCGAATGAGATGTATTCCTGCTTGTGGCCGTGCGCATTTCTTGTTCTGCATCCCTCGTTCGCTCAGGTTGGTTTGTCGGTTCAGTGCGAGCTATGCTATGGGGACCTCCATAAGGCAACTTCTCTATATGCTACAGTTATCCCCCCTCCAAAGCGTATTCCCAGTCTCGTATCTTGTTATTAGAAGGTCCCTGCGGAATACTTCGCGATATGCACTGCTCCCAACCTTCAGTCGGCCTGCTAATGGCGACCTTGAATGTACTTGTGTCTCTGCATTACCTTTCAATCCCTTCAGGCTCTCTCCGTGCTTCTGCTCGAATGTCATGTAAGGGTTCGCTGCTGCATTTATCCTGTACTGACCGTTTGTCATGGAAATTTTTGAACCTTGAAGTCCGATTCCCTGCATTTTTCGATCCTTCAGTCGTAGAATCTCTCCGATTACGCTGCGTCGCCAGTTTTCTATGTGCACACGCGTCCCTTCTTCCGCGTTTGTTGTTTGAGTTCTCCTTCACGATACATCTTTTTAGAACAACTACTCTCCAGAAAATTCGCAACACCAAAAATAGGGAATGTTTATACCTCAACTACCTTCATTGGAGTATTACCAGAAGCCAGTTTCTTACTCGCCCATACTTTTCGCGGACCGCCTCCCGCAAGTGTTGATTCTTTCATCAATGCAACGCTCTTGATATGGCCGTTGACCTAGGGTTACGCGTTGCTGTCCCTGTCGGACCTTTAGGTTGTGAACCGTCGTACCGTCTGAGTTTTGTTCGATCGCAACGCCAATTGACTGGCGTTGCTAGGGTTTACCGCGTTGTCCGGAGTTGACCCTTGCTAGCGGTTTTGGACGCTGTGTGTGTTTTGATCTGTGCAACGCGTGTGACTGGCGTTTGACTACAGCTTACGCCGTTGTCTGGCTTGTAGACCTTAGGGTTTGATGTTGTCATGTTGCTCAGTCCACGAGCACCAACTAAGAATTGATGCTCTCAGCTGATCTCTCGTATTATGGATTTTTGGCAATCTCAGCCTCCTAACCGGGTTTGATGCGCTTACGACTACCGTTTGAGTCGGGTCGCTAGCCTGCGGATTGTTGTAGGTCCGTTCCGCCCTGTGACGTTCACCCCTAGAAAGATGAACCCCTTTTCAGCTGCTACGATATTGAATACGTTATGGACCTTGTCTTTCTCCCTTTGAAAGACCCACCTAAACAGCAAGCTTGTATCAGGCTACGTCTGACTTACAATCTCTC